GAATGCACTGAAAATACTTAGCTACAGAAGAGATAAATCCAATTATCACTGGAATTCACTGAAAATACTTAGCTACAGAAGAGATAAATCCAATTATCACTGGAATTCACTGAAAATACTTAGCTACAGAAGAGAAATAAAAGTCTAAGACCACCATTTATATTTGAAAGTAAGATTTAAAAAAAGAAATTCCACATTAATCAACATAGTTTTTTTGTAAAAATATATCTGAATAATAATCAAAGGTTTGGAACTTTAGGTTAAAGCATAAAAAAGAAAGAAAATTAACTGTGCAGTGTATGTAATAACACTGTTCACACAAAAGACTTTTATTACCATTTAGCATCTTGTACTTTTCTTGAAAATAAGTCTAGAATTAATATATATGTATATTTATGTTTTCGACATTGAATGAAAAAATAAACAAAAGTATGACTTAAGAAAAATGTTATTACTGACCTCACACTTTACAGAAATATTGTACTTGTTTATTCTACAAATGCCAAAATGAACACAAAAAAATTTGATTTGCACCATTTTCAGACATTATATTAATTGTTGTTCCTGACACTAAAGACACAAAGTTAAATCTAAGTAACTTTTAAAAAAAATGCACATCTCTTCCAATATTCGTGTATTTGAAATTTCATCATCATGGATAAGATCAAACATTAAAATGAAATATTTTTAATAGTTGTTTTGATGTTCGAAATTTTTCTTTAGATATTTTCTTATAAAAGTACTCAAGAGAGACAAATATATATCAGATGTAAACAGAAGATTTAGCCTACTGTTTCAGTAGGTATTTCGATTAAGGTTTATATCAAATCCAGCACAATTCCACAAGCAGGACATGATTCTCCTCTAAACTAGCAAGGCAAAAATGGACAACCATGGAAGGTTTTCATCAACATTTAGATAGAATTATGATGTAGCTAGGAAATGCAAGGAACCAACAGGACACTATACAGTCATAAGGCGACTGTTAACATCAGTAAACAAACTCTCTTCTTATTCCTGCATGGCACCCAGCCTCCACATAAGGGGACAGACAGTCCCTGAGACTGTCACCTGGTGCTCAATTCAACTTTTGATTAAAGACGAACTACTACTCATCAAAAAAGTTTTAACAGCACATTTATTATGAATGTGTGAAGTAAACTTGCTTTTAATACTGCCTGTTATTTTTCAACAATGACAACAAAAAGGTATTGTAGGATTTTCAGCATCGCTTGTCCCTAGACGAACTATGTGCCTTTACCCCTTTCATGTACAACAATACATATTATAACTCTGACATTTCTTGACATATCCTTACAAAAATGGGTAAGATTTTATTAAAGATTATAAGTATCTTGTACACAAAGATTATTTTAATTTAGTGTTTCTCTTAAAGATATGTTATCTATTGCAGTTATTTTCACTCAAAAGTTTAATAGTTCAAGTACAAGGTGATTTTCATGTTATGTATAAAAATAGTTTTCTTCATCTTACAGTTTTCATATTTCATTTGAATAACTTCTAGAACCTCCTAAATGAATACGAAATTTTTTTAAGGTAAATGTTTATATTGTTGCGTCAGCGAGTCACATGACCACTGTGACGCCACGTTTCTAGAACTATCCTGTACTTTGGCGAATGCTCTAGTAATTACTAGATATAGGGTAGGCTGGTATATAAAAGAGGGGAAGGTAGTGTGTGTATAGATAGTGAGTAATTGATCTGCAGTCAGAAGTATTATTGAGCACGTTCGTCGTTATAGCGTTTGTTTAGCACGATTGTTGAAGTTGAGTGTATCGGTAAAGTTGTATTTGGAAAGAATAAACCAGTTTTTATTAAGAAAGAACTTGTGTCGCTTAAGTTTCGTCGCAACGAAGTTACGGAAAATCAATTAACAAACGGAGACGTAACAAATTGGTGTCAGAAAGTGGGACAAAAAAAAATGGAAACGAGAAGCGGCAAATCAAACTACAGCATAGCAGACTTGATGGCTGCAATACAAGAGCAGAAAAAGAAACAAGAAGAACGAGAAGAGAAATTACAACAGTTGTTAGAGGAAAAGAAAAGAAACAAGAAGAACGAGAAGAGAAATTACAACAGTTGTTAGAGGAAAAAGAAAAGAAACAAGAAGAAAGACAACAGCAGTTACAAGAAAACCTACGACAATGGCAGCTCGAACAGCAAAATAAACAAGAGAGATTACAACAGTTGTTGGAGGAAAAAGAAAATAAACAAGAAGAAAGATTACAGCAGTGGCAAG